AGGACTGGCTCCAGGGTCACTTCACCTTAACCCTAATGTTAGCTCCCTGACCCTAGCCAGAAAAACTCGAGTAAACTTCCAGCACAAGACCCAACCCTGCTGGTATTAACAGTCTTCAGGAGAGAGGTTTGAACTTGAGCTTCCCAATTCAGCAAGCAATGAGAGATTGTGTACTATATCTTAGAACATGTTGAGTTTTCCACTGCTGGAAGAAAGTACTTTCAGAGAGAAATGTGGAAATGCGGGTGAATCTACCATTATACTTAGGACACATTAACTCTCAGGATAAGAATAAAAGTAACAAAAACGTTTCTTGTTACTGTTGTGTTGGTGTTTTGTTTTTATAGACAGGGTCTTGCTGTGCAACCCAGGCTGAGCACAAACGTGCAACCCTCCTGTCACAGCCTTCCAGGTGCTAGAATTACACACGTGGCACCACACTTCAGTTTTGTTGTTAATCAGTGTATTTTTATGTTGAAGCTAATCCATATAAGGTTGAAAATCAGATCCACATAGAGAAGTAAGGAGAGTGAATTCCCAACTCCCTTTCCTTCAACAACTAATTGGTGTGTGTAGCTTGCCCTAAGATGAAGGTGTTGAGATGGACGGAGAAGCCTGCTGAGGAGCAGCAGGCAGCATGCAGTTCAGGAGTGGGAGCAGACATCCCGAGGGAACGAGCTTGTCCAGGCATAGAAGGCACCAGAGTTGGCAAGGGAGAGGTGGCTGGTTTTCAGATCCCACAAGCAGGGAAGTCACCAGGAGCAACTCTCAGAGGCCAGGCCATCCTCCCCCGCACGGCCCACAGCCCCTGACTTTGCTGTGGGGCCCTTGTAACTTCAGAGCCCTCCACCCTCATGCCAAGGGCAGTGCACCACAGTGGGGAGGTATGGCTCTGATCCTGGCACTGCCCATCAGACCATGCTGCTGCCTTCCGTCTCATTTTCAAGTGGACCCTGCACACTGCCCAGCTGCAGGGCTAAAGAGCCAAGCATGTCCTGGGACTCCACACTTACGTGGGTTGTCAGCACTTCTTCCTTGAGATTTGCTGGTGTCCACTTGACACATTCCACAGTGCATCAGAGTAGGGGCACCTCCTGCTCCTTTTCTGGTTTCCCAGATCACAAGCAGGGACACCAGGGATGCTCAGCTAGATTCTCTCTCCTAGTACTCACTCTTATATCCAATTTTGGGGACATCCCACAGCAGTGAAAACCATTGCCACTGTGTAGTGTCAGCCACTAGAAAGATGAAGGTCACAAGAAACAAAGGCAAGTGAGGACCTCAGACAGCCCAGGTCTGAACAGGTGGCTGGAGGAGAGGCCTCGCTCAGCACAGCATGCGCTCCTGGGCATGGCCCACACACTGCGCCCAAGCTGGCAGAGCCCTCTTTGCCCTCTAATTGACATTAAAATACCACAAGAGACCAGCTCTTCCTCCACCGTAGGCCTGTATTAGTTTTACAGTTGGTCCTGGACACAAGGAGAATGGGACAGCTGCTGGCCCTGCCTCTCCCCTAGTCCTCCCTTACAGTCTTTCTCAGGATTTTCACAAGGCCAGACTGAAAATCCCAGAAAAATTGCTTCTCAGCCTTTTGGCTAAGATCAAGTGAAAAATCCCATAAAAGCAGCCAAACATTAGTCCAAACTAAGGTGTTAAAGATTTACTTATCTAGTATAGTCCTGCAAACTATCCCCATTTTAGCATTCGACTTTCAGAAAAAACACCACTTCTAATGATCATGCAAATGGACATGTAATCTAGAATCCCTTGTTATGAAATTTAAATTCTCCATGTGATACTGGACAGATGGATCTGGCCCTCTTGCCTTCCTCCTCTGGGAAGAATTGTATAGTTCTCCCATGGGGACAGTCATTACCCTGGACCTGTCCCCCATTCTGCCTCTCTGGGTTTTCCCTGAAACTTCCTTCTTGTAAAATGCTGCCCTGTCTTAGTTATTTTCTCATTACTAAAACAAAGCACCCAACATCAATAATTCTAAGGAAGAAAGATTTATTTTGGCTTAGTTTGTAGAGGTTTCAGTCCATAGATAGCTGGCTCCAAGACAATAGCACGGCAGGAAAAAAACAATGGTCCATGGCATGGTGGCAGGAAGCAGAGGGATCAAAGAGGAGGAGAGAGGTGACTCTTACAGTCCACGCCCCAATGACCTCCTCCTCCCATCAGGCTCCACCTCCCAGCATCACACTTAGCTCAAACTCATCAGTGGGGCCATGGAGATAGCTCAGAAGTCTAAGTGCCTGCCTAGGGAAGTTCAAGGACCCGGGTTCAATCCCCAGTACTGCATGCCATACTAGCCCCACCCCTGGTGCACTGAACTGGCCACCAAGACTAGGCATGGTAGCACACACCTGTAATCCCAGCCCTGGGAAAGCTGAAACAGGAGGATCACTACAAGTTCAAGCTGTGTAGTGAGAGCCTGTACCAAACAAATTTTTTAAAAAAATTTTTAAGTGCATCAGTGGTTATTTCACTGAGTATCATCCCCATGGTCCAAACACCTCCCAAAAACCCCACCTATGAGTATGTCAGGCTAGGGGGAACAGAAATCTACACATAACCATAACATGCTCTGACTTCCAACTTTCCATAGCATCAAGTGGCCCATCAGTGAGTTAACACACAGCAAGAAGCAGCCTCCAGTGTTCCCATTACAACAAACATCTCATTCGTAACTTCACACACAAATGCCCATCTGATCTCCATCCCCATGTTGGTGACCTTGATGGCAGAACTTTGAGTACAGGATAAAGGCAGAGGGGGTGTTTATGGGTCCTTGGACCTCATGGGACCCCTTGAATCACAGGAACAGAGTCATCCCTCGATTCTCTTGCCCACTCACACCTGTCCAGACACAAACACACACCATACATAAACATTGTGTGCACACACACACCACCCACACCATTCCCCACATGGCACCACCCATGTACAGTGTCCCTATGAAGTAGTCATCAGTGAACAGCCCTAGAATGAAATAGGTAAGGAGATTCCTATTTTTAAATAATAATAATAGTGGGTTCTTTTATAATAAAAAGAATCTGCCTCTAGCTCAGATGTCCTGAATATGTGGATTTTATCCATTTCATCCTCCTGATGCAGACACCCACATATTAGAGACTCAGATTTTAAAAGGCATCCAAATGGTGAAATAGCTACAAATAGTTCTCCTTGTCAGAGTGCTCGTTGGAATCTGCAACTGTTGTTTTCTGGGATAGCTGGCAGGTGACAAATTTTCCATCCATGCAGGGTCTACTCACGGCCCCCCTTCCTTGTGCTGACTGTCATGAATGCGGTGTGCATTCTGCTGCAAGAGAAACCAAACTGGACAACAGCAAAGCTGCTTCTATCAGAGACTGGATTCCTAAAGAAACTGATTAACCTTGATAAGGACAGCATACCTGATAAGGTAAAAAGTGGGCCCCTAATTAATGCAAGATGTATGCATTCTGTATTCATGATCCAGGGAGAAAAAGAAAAGCATTACAATTACAATTCTGCATTAGAAGTGGAAGACAGTAGTAAAAGTCAGAGAAGCAAGCTGCATATCCAGACTCCACAGGTTCCTGAGAGCATCAAGAAAAAGCAGTGTGTCACTGGAATTGGAAAATGTTATATCTCAGAATCTCTTTAGCTAACCAAGACTAGAGGAAGACAACTATTGAGTGAAGTCTTTCTAGGTTAGCTGCAGTGTAGCACACTCATCCAATAAGTGAGTGACGGGGTCTTGGGTCTATCTTCATTGTTCAGCCAATGTCCCTAGAGCAGCGTGTCAGACCTCCTTTTGAGCATTTTGTAAGTATCAGTTCATGAGCACGGTGATGGGGTAGATTTAAAAAAAAAAATTACGGGAAATGAGGCAGCCTGGAAACTGTGGTGAGGATTTTGCTGGAGTAGGTTTCATTAAGAATGCAGATTTGTCATAGGCTGAAAGTCAAAGGATGGAACAAAAGACATAGAGACATTCATAGGCTGAAAGTCAAAGGATGGAACAAAAGACATAGAGACATTCATAGGCTCAAAGTCAAAGGATGGAACAAAATACTACATGCCCCAGCACCTCAGAAAAAAGCAGGGGTAGCAATTCTATTCTCAGACAGTCTCAACTTCAAACCAACA